TGTGATAGTGATATTTGATAATTCATGTTAGACATGACGAATGAAATTCCAATGACTCGGTAATATCCCAAGACAGGGAGGAAACTTAAATGGACATAAAAAATGGAGACAATTTTATAGGAGCTACTTGTTGAGCAATGCTTGCTCATTAAGAAGCCCAATCAGCTTTTAAAAATGAGCAATGGAGTGCAATTGAGCAAAAGTTCAATGCCAATCTTGGAATGAATTTGGGAAGGGATGCTTTTACTAATAAACTTAGAACGTGGTCAAAGAACTACAAGACTGTCAAAAAAATGAAGTATCAAAGTGGCTTTGGATGGAATGAAGAATCACATATGGCTATTATCGATGAATCTTTATAGGATGATTATGTAATGGTATGTGTATGTTTCTCATTGATCTAATTTTTTATTATTTTGAAAAAATGTAAATTAGTTATTTAAGTTAATGCATATTATTTTAATCTTGCAATCTAATCCGCTTGCAAAGAACTTCAAAGGGAAGTCCTTTGAATACTGGAAGGAGCTGAGTTGGCAATGATTTTACCGAGGGTGTTGGTGCCAGGACGCAGCACAACTAGAGAGGGATATTGATGATGATTTTGAGGATGTTCGAGAGACGATTGTAGGCTTAGATGATGATAATGGTGTTGAGGAAATAGGTGATGATGAGGACTTCCCAGAGACACCGGTCCAATCAAGGAGGAATGGACTACTGGAAGGAGCTGAGCATAATTGTCAGCAATGATTTTGCCAAGGGTGCTAGTGCTAGGACGGCAGCACAACTAGAGAGGGACATTGATGATGATGTTGAGGATGTTCGAGAGACGATTGTAGGCTTAGATGATGATAATGGTGTTGAGGAAATAGGTGATGATGAGGACTTCCTAGAGACACCGGTCCACTCAAGGAAGAATGGAATAACCACCAATCCATTCGAAAAATCAACATCGCTTATGCCATCGAGGAAGAAAAAGAAAACCATGGTTGATACTGTGGCGTCAATAGGTGTAGCTGTGAAAGAAATTGGTTCTGCAATTGTAGAGTTGAGGAAACTAGCAGCAAACCCACATATACGAGAGGTCTACAAAGGCTCTTAAACAGGTCCACGGTCTTACTCGACCCGTCTTCATGCGAGCATATAATGAAATGATGGCAGACATAAATATTAGTGAGGGATTCTTAGAATGGACTGAAGAAGACCGAGTGTTTTGGATTAACTCGAAGTATTTTCAAGAAGGTGGTGACATGTAAAGCGGAGTGAAATCCACACTTTTTTTATTTGGATTCCTCTCTCTCTTTATTTGACCGAGACAGTTTTTGGACTTGGGAATTTTTGTTATCAAATTGCTATACTTACTTTCTAACACACACACACATACATTATCTCTCTCTCTCTTTTGGTAGATGATGATGAACTTCTCTATCATTCTCTATGTCTACAATAACATTTGTTGGAACAATGACAATTTTATTTAACATTCTCATTCTCTCTTTAAAATGGTGACGATTAAGATCAATACTTTGCACTCTCTATCTTTGGAATGGTGATATTATACTTATCTCTCTCTCTCTCTCTCTCTCTCTCTCTCTCTCTCTCTCTAGAATGGTGTGATGATATTATTAGAAAATCTTTTTAGAATGGTGTGATGATGACTTTAATTCCATATTTCAAGGGAATTTTGTGACAAAAAAAAAGAAATGATAGTTTATAAGGAAGTGCTGGTAAAATGTTGGTAATGCATTTCCGATATTTCTTCCACACATAACCAAACAGTAGCAATGTATTTTTTAGGTTGCATCTAAATATTACCCAAATAGTAACAATCCATTTGCAGGTAATATACTACGCAATAATGTATTACGCCAATAATATATTTCACAGACAATATATTTCCAGGTATCCAAACGACCCCTTAGAGTAGAGTACACTTAGAAAGAGTACTCTCAGAGTCTATAAAGTACAATTGAAGAGTATAAACATAAGGGTACATTTGACATAAGCAAATAATAGACATAAAAAAATCACGAAATTCAAAATTAGATTTTCTATATTAAACTAATGAGGCATTTTGTGTTAAAAAATATATTGTACGAAAATATTAATAATTAAAAATCAAGAAAAATATTTTACGAAGATTTAAAGTGAGATAAAATAAATGCATGAAATGATATTAAATTAATTATTTAAAAAATGAAAGACAAAGGGTATTATGAAATCCAATAAAATAATCTACTATAAACCCAAGTCTTTAAATAAAAATTAAGAGAGAAAATAAACCAATGTTCTAGTACTCATAAAAAGGCTAAGGGTCCACATCATTTCAAATTAAAAGGCTTCGATCTGCCGATGACTGGCTTTTGCATCCAACACAATTAGGACATGATTTAGTGTTGGCCAGGGGAGGGTTCTAGTACGGACCCTGCAGAAACACTCCTCCCACTTTGGAGAAACGAGAAACTTGTCTAACCTGGAAAGGGCTGGATAGTGGGGTGGTTTGACCAAGTAAAAGTTGAATTGTACAAGGGAAGATCGATTAGGCTATATCTATGAAGAAATCTAAGAAGACCACCATACCCAACAAGATGTGGCCTCGAGAGTTCCTTTGACCTAATAATACTGAATTCTCCCTCTAAGCACTACGGGGTGGTGGCAAGGAAGCAACATGGTCGAGCTCTTCTCAAAAAGTATCTCATAAGGAGACCAGGTTTGGGCCACAGATAGCTATGAATTGCCCATGAAGCTGGTTGGAAGTTGGAACTCCTAAGAAGGGAGATTGTCACCAAGGAGCCCAGAAAAACATAGGTAAACCTGAAAATCTCTATTTAAACCCTTAATTTTCATATAAAAACTTATGTTCATATTAGAAAACCTTTTCTAGGATTACGTAATGCCTTTTATGTCTTTCATTTAAGAAATAATCAATTTAATATCATTTCATGCGTTTGTTGTATCTCACTTCAAATCTTCCTTAAATCTTTTCCTTGATTTTAATCATTAAGATTTACGTACATTATATTTTTTAACACAAAATTCCTAGTTAATTTCATATAAATTCTTCTATTTACAACAAAAAATCTATTTTTGGATTTCGTGATTTTCTGATGTCTATCATTTGCTTTTTTTAAGTGTACTTTATGTCTATAGGCTCTAAGTATACTCTATAGACTCTTAAGTGAATTCTTTTATTGGATTTCTTAATTTTTCTTAGGTCTATAGACCTTATATGTACACTATATATATGAGAACTTGCTCTATATAGGAGCTCATCTGCCCCTTCATGAAGTGCCAGAGTTTCACCTTGAAGATCAGGCTGACTGCAAGTTTCCATAGTTTCCAAGCAAGGTTTCACAATTTCACAGTTTTTTCTTCTAGATTTATGTTCCTGCATTTAATTTTTGTGTCTATTTTGTTTTTGCATTCTTGGTTCACTTGAGAGAGGCTCAACATGCATTTTTGCACTACCCTATTTGTGATGCATGAGTCATGAAGTTGGTCCATAGTTATGTGGACCATAAAAGAGCATATTATTACCACTGAAATAAAGATTATGGATCCTAAAATTGAGCTCTGTGATCCATAATTGTTTTCTGTTTGATAGTCCTTGACGTCATTATTTCATCATCATCATTTAAGGTTTATCCCAATTATTTGGGTTCGGCTACATGAATCTTCTTTCTCCATTCTTCTTTAGCAAGATTCATGCCCTCAGTAAGACCAAAAGTCACCATATCTTTACTCAGTACTCATATCCATGTCCTTTTGGGTCTTCCCCTTGCCCTTTTTGAGCTTTCCACTTGAACCAAATTGCACTTCCTAACCGGTGCTGTATTGGATCCATGTTGCACATGGCCAACCCACCTAAGTCTACTTTCCCTCATCTTATCGCCTATTGAAGTCACACCTAAGTTTCCTCGTATGTATTCATTCCGATTTCTATCTTTTCTTGTCTTGCGACACATCCATCTCAACATCCTCATCCTATTGACACCATTACTTAATATTTTTGCTTTTTGTTTCCTTTTTGGCAAATTGGGGTTATCACCATCTTAACATATGGTTCTATATTATGTTCTTTTTGGATGCCTCCATGTAATATGCATTAAAGCAATCAAAATGAAAGGCTATAGTGGCTTGTTAATAAAACCATGTTCAAATCCTATCATGACCTCATATTCTAAATTTTTCTATTTTTTTATGGGACTTTCTAACAATAAAGTTCTTATTAGCATAGGTTCACCATATTGATAATGTTGTTCAGTCTTTTAATTTTAAAATATCACCTCTAAAAAAATTGATAATAAATGCACACATACATTTATGATTTTATTTTTTTTGGGTAAATTAGGGAGAGAGAAGGCCCTCTACCCGTTTTTCATTAATAAAAGATAGAAAAAATTACATCATACTATCTTACAACCCTACAATACGGTAATTGCGCCATGAAGTAACGGAAGGTAAAGAAAATCAGGAGGCCTAGAGCGCCAAATGGTAACCTCCGCAAAAACTGTAGCCTTTTTGGCAAGAACATCGGCCACCACATTAGCCTCACGGTAAACATGGCAAATGAACCATGAATGATTCTCAAGTCTAGACTTGCAATTAGCAATTATGGTATTAAGAGCCCATGGAGCTTTATACCTGCCCAGTATGACCTGGACAAGTAAGGAACAATCACTCTCAATTTGTAGGGGGAAACATTCCATTTGAGTGGCTAAATCAACACCCTCTTGTAAACCTCAAAATTCTACATAATTATAGGAAGCCATTCCAAGAGGAACCGAGAAAGCAGCAACAAAAGATCCATTATCCTGTCTCAAGACGGCCCCACAAACAGCTTGACCTGGATTCTGAATAGAAGACCCATCAATATTTAGGTTAAAATGTTGTGAATGTAGAAAAGCCCATGCCACTGTTATGGGTAACTTGATCCTTTGTTGCCGCCACGTAAGTCGTAAATTCTCAGTAATAGCCTTTTCTGAGATATGGTAAGTCCATACCTTAGCATCTGCCAAATCACAAACATGACAGGTGATCCTTCGAGTCAACTTCTCACGAGTGAGTGTCCTTCCTTGAAACATACGGCGGTTCCACTCCTCCCAAATCATCCATATAGTTGTGAAGAAGAGAGAATGCCAAATGTTGATAATACCATCAAACTTGAACTTGAATGTTAACCATTATTGCAGTGTAGTTGCAATAGAACAATCTGTAATAAAGCGTTTCCACATCGCCATGCTATCGACCTCCAAGCCCCTGAGAGAAAACACATTAAAGCAAAATATGGCAAATATTGTCATCATTGAGATGAAAAAAAGGGCACACAGAAGCAAGGGTGATTCCCCTTCGCTGCATGAGAGAAGAGGCAAGAAGACAATCATGAAGGCTCAACCACGAGAATCATTTAGCCCTTGGATGACACTTAGAAGACCATAGTGCCCTGAAGACCGGTTGAGAAGAGCCCTTTCGTCAGATAAAATCCATGCCTCTTTAACATAAAACATTCCATTTGCAGAGTGAATCCGTACCAAAAGATCAGGCTGGGGTTTAAGAGGGATTGAAGAAACCTCCACTTCCTTCCAAACTCTGATCCATTGATTCCGGGTTTTAAGTGCTGGGCCTGGTGCAAGGGTAGGGAAATACTAGGATGGTTGTGAACCACATAAGTAGTCTACAACCCTAGGCTTGGCAAAACTTCCCAGATCCTTCCGAATACGAGAACCATAAGCTTCCAAAATGGATTTTTATAATAACCATGGATTTGTCCAAAAATTAATTGTCTTGCCATCCCCAACAACCTACCGAACATTATGGCGCAAGAGAGACAACCCCGTTTGAATGCCCTTCCATGCATAGGAGCAAGACTTCCTGTCAACTTCCCAGATTGAAAATTTTCTGAAGTACATGTGCCTAAAGAAGCAAGCTATAAGAGAAGACGGGTTAGCCAGAATCCTCCATGCCAATTTCATCATGCCTATATTATTGAACTCAATAATATCACGAATTCCAAGTTCCCCCTCTTCCATTGGCAAACATACATTTTTCTATTTTACCAGGTGGACCCCCTTCTTATGAGTTGTACCAGCCCATAGAAAATTTCTCTGAAGCCGCTTTAACATACTAAATGTGCGCTTTGGCAGTATAAATTATAGAACCCACAAAAAAGCTGATGAACTTAGCACCGATCTCAACAGTTGTAACCGACCTACATAAGAGCGGGATAAAGACTGCCATGTTCCTATCTTGTTAATGAATTTCCCCACAAGATTCTGGCAATTATGGTGCTTCAAGTTCCCATGGAACTGAGGCATTCCCAAGTATCTTACCGGAAGAGAACCCTCACCAAGCCCCAATTTCTTTAAGATAAAATGTTTTGCATTCATGGAAGCTCCAAAAAAGAAGGCCTTACTTTTAGTTACGTTCAATTTTTGCCCTGTTGTATTTCCAAAAATAAAAAGAATAAAATTCATCTGTCTTGCAGCAGCTAAAGAAGCCTCACAGAAAATAACTGCATCATCGGCATAAAATAGATGTGATACCCCATAGTCACAACCAGAAGGAAAATCCACAGAAAGAGTACCTTGCAGTATTGCCTGATCCAACTGCCCACTCATGAAATCCATTACCAACAAGAAAAGATACGGAGATAAAGGGTCCCCCTGCCGTAAGCCTCTTTTACCTTTGAAATATCCCATTGGGAAACCATTATGAAGCACCGAAAATGAGGGAGGGAGTAGGAATACAATAGCGAATCCAAGAAAAAAAAAGATCTGCGAAACCCAAAGCATGCAAACTCGCAAGAACAAAATCCCAAAAAACCCGATCATAGGCGCCACATAGATCCAACTGCAAACACATCTTAGGATTGGTTGAATATTTGTTACATAATGAAATAAGTTCATTAGCCACCAATATGTTATCTGTGATCAATCTACCCTTTAAAAAAGCAGCTTGTCTGGAATCAATCAGAGCATGTAACACCTCCCTCAATCTATTCGAATAAGTTTGCTAATGATTTCGTAAACAACATTACACAAACCAATTGGCCTAAAGTCCTTCATAAGACAAGGGGAATTGACTTTCGGGATAAGGCAAATGAATGTGGAATTTATCTGCTTAAGGAATTTACCATTTTTGAAAAAGTCATGCAATGCCAAAAACAAATCCTTCTTGATCACTTCCCAACTAAACTTATAAAATTCCATCGTAAAACCATCTGGGCCATAATTTGTCGTTCAGGTAATTGGAATAATATATATATTAACAATTGAAAGTTATAAATATATAAATTGGAATAAAAATATATAATTTTATATATACACACGCATGTATATGCATATTGCATACATAATATATATATGGGGCACTTCCCTTGCATGCCCATATACATGTAGTGCATATAAAGAAGATCGCTCCTAGGTTGCTCCCTGAGCAGCGCTCCCAAGCATTCCAAGAGTAGGGAGCTTCAGCCGAAGGTTAATCCCAGGTTCCCATTCCCACATCTGCACCTACTCCCACTCCTAACAACCATGGGCAATGCTATTTGAATTTGAAATGACCTTAGGATTTGGACTTTGGACCTAGGTGGGATTATGGCACTTAAAGGGGCAGATTTCCGACATGCACTTGGGTGTCCATGTAACTGGCTCGAATAGGCTGCTGCTGTGCGACCTCGCTTGGGTCCTTGGCCACATCGTCCCATGGTCATCATTGCTACTGTGGACTAGGGTACTCCAGGGACCATATCACCTGCATCTGTTTTACCTCCAGTCTACTGTTTTCCATTCATCTAGAATGTCATTCCGCGCTTTATCATGGTCCTGGGTATCAAGCTCCCTGCAATGGCATGGGCTGATTGAGGAGGTGATCCCTGGATTTGAGGCCTTTCTTCATGGCTGATGCGGATCAGAAAGGAGAGTTTCACAGCTTGCAGGTGGATGGAACTTGCAACAGTGTGGGGAGGAAACTTCTAGCAAGATCTGCACTGCCCCAGGACGCAACCTTCCCCATATTGTTCACGTTGATATTCAAGAAAACCCCGCATGGATCCCGTCTTCCCGAACGTGTCCTGGTGCAGGCCCAGAGAGGACACCTTCTGCCAGTATCCGTAGTCTCATCTCTTTTATAGCTCCCTTTGCAGGAATTTGTGGAGTGATGTTGAGCAGAGCTCCTTTGTATTTCTGGTTGGGAAAAGGTTGGGAGAAGAAGAAGAGGTACGCCCCTACAAGGAGCTTCCTACAGATCATCTAGGGGGCTTTCCGCTTCTGTGCCCACTTGGAGATTCCTCCAAGTCTGACCGGTGAGAAGGTACCCATTAATGAGAAGCACAAAAGACATCTCCTTTGCACAATAACCTCCTCGCTACTTATAATCATGGGGAGGCCCTGAATTCCAGTCTTAAAAGATGACAGAGGCGGTAAGGGAAGGGATTCTGATTAGCCGTTCTGTGAACAGCATTCTTACAGGATATGGGAGGCCACAGTGTTGGGAACCTTCCATGTGCCTGATTAGATGAGTATAACTGGAGTGCAGATCAGGCAACCAGGGTGAGACACTACCGGAGGATGCACAGGGAATCAACTTCGACTGGAGATGCATCATAGGTTTGGAGGAAGAGGGCTTGCCTTGCAAATGGTTAAACTGAGAACCTTCTGTTTCTATGAAGAACAGGAGATAGCAATGGATGTCTTGCCTTTGTGGAAGTAGCACTTGGGTTGAGAAAGGAGGGGAAAGAGATGCTTGGAAGGTGAAACAGGGCTGACCCTCCCTCCCTCTCGCGAGAGGAGAGAAGGGAAGATAGAGTGGAGGGGACTCTTTGATGCAGGAAGGGGAAGAGGAGAAGGGGAGAGGAGGGAAGCTAAGAATGAGTAGGGTGGGAGATTAGAGATGTGGTGTTACAGACGAAGCGAGCAAGGAGCTTCACACTTTCTTCTAACCGAACTACAGCGTCTCATTTTAGTTGGGGAAATTACTTATATACAACAACTTTTAGGATAATACTAATATATACAGAACCATCCAATTAAAAGAGGATGTCACTGTGCTATTATTAATGCCATTTGAGCTACATTCCATAAATGTCTGAACCATGCAAATCCAAAGCTTTCTTCCTGCTAAAGAGAGAGGAGGGAAGCCACCTTGGAGAAAAGAGAGAGAGAGAGAGATGACTATTTCATGGGGGAAATATGATTTGCAAATGCAGGTACTTTTCAGGATTAAGGATAGTTCCATCACATATTGTTGAAAAGCTGAAGTTTTCAAGGTACAGTTCATAAAACCAACGCTAGTTGCATATATCTTTTTTAAACCTGTAGCATCTATCAACTTAAAGAACCAGTCATCTTCTATGCTGCTCCACTGTCCATTGCAGCATGCATGAAGCCCACGTAGAATTTGAAAAAACAGTAAAAAAAAGACAAGAAATGCTGCTACCAATAAAAAAAAATTCAAGAAGCAATCTAGGATACTTTCGACAAATAAAATTTATCAAAATGGATTAGTTACACTTACTTGTTCAGAACTGCATCAAAATCTTGAATGAAGATGGCCACAACATTAAAGATCATACCAAAGACATACAACCAGAAATTTTGCACATTGATATTTCTTGAAGGGCGCTTTTTAATTATAGCCTGCAGATTTATGCATAGATAGAATTAAGTACTTAAAAACCAAAAAGTTGTTTTCCATAAACAAGACAAAAAGATGCATGATTAACCAACAAGAAAAAATCCCAAGAAAGGATATCTCTACTTTTTATGATTGATAGTGGAGAGTGAAAAAATATAGCCATAGTGAGACCAATATCCATTAAAATGATACTTAGATCGTGGAGAGGGTAGGACCCACCATTTTGGTCATGTCCTACTCTTGTGGATCCCACTCTCTCCATCACATCCATCATATCAATAGGAAAAGAGATGACACAGTGGTATATTGATTTTCCATACTCCATTGGAATATAGCATGAGTTTCCCATATTAAGTGCATGCCACTATACCTCTGTGTAAACACCGGCAAAGCCACTAAGCAAGGCCATAACCTGAACAAGAAATGCCTATTTTCATAACTGCTATTTAACATAATCATCAAATAAATAAATACCCCAAAATAATACTATAAGGGCATGTTTGATTGGTGAAAAAAGCACCTGCCAAAGCTGCTGCTTCCACCAGCTTTGGAAGCTGGAACTTCCATGGGATAGCATGTAAGCAGCGGCTTCCTCATTAAAGCCCATTTTAAATTTGTTTTGGAAGCCCTAGGAAGCTGCAGCCTCCAAAACAGCATAGCACTTTCCATTAACAAACAAATGAAGTGCTACAGTAACAGGAAACCATAGCTTCCAGTTATCAAACATGCCCTAAAAGAAGATCAACTGCACCAAATTCTGATCTCATTGTTTTTCCAACTCACAATTGCCATTATCCAACCTTGAATAGGAGTTTGGAGAACACGATCGGAACTGCACAACCAATGATTCAAGTGAGACAACTTTGAAAAATCTAAATAACTAAAGAGTGAGAACACAATTTCACTGCATGTTCAAGTAAAATAGAATCTACAATTATTTGGGTTGTTGGAAGTATATTTGAAGTACAAAAGAGAATAGATTATGCTCACGTAGAATTGAGTTGTGCAGTAGTGCATCCTATACATAAAAGAACAAAACCCGCCCACTGGATCTCAGTTAACCTACAAGAAAAAAAACGTAGATTACAAGCTGCAAATCTGAATCATTCCCCATGCCATATAATATGGAAAAAGGGTTACTTTTTCTTCAAAATGATACGGTATAATACACCAGTACTGATGATGTTCAAGTTCTTCAATATCTGGTAACTTGGGGCATCCACGTACACAAAGATATAATACTACAAACACAGAAACAAATCTAAATCAGATTGTGCATAGACCCAAGTCTATTGAAAAATGAAAAAATATAAAATAAGACAGTATTTATCGGAATAATTGAATTTAACATAAGTTCCCTGAAGAGAGGGCATAGTGAGTAAATTGCAGTTTATATGAAATATAAATAGCAGTCTTGTCAACATTTATTAAACATTGTAATCTCCCATACTTTTTCATTTCTCCTTTTAATAGTTAATTCTTAGAAATATATGTATGATGAAAGTTAAAGTGATGCACCTGTAGTAAGTTCTTGATAAGATAGAGAGCCGCAGGTATAGGATAAACTTTGACTTCATCGAAGGAAGTACTTAACCTGTGAAGCAAAGCAGGTCACATAAGAAGATAATACACGCAACCAAATTAGAGAACACCATAGCAGAGAATCTGTTAAAACTTCAATGTTTTTAAGAGAAATTGATAAGATTTAATTTTTTAAGAGAAATTGATTATCATCAACATCATCTGAGCCTCATCCTGAGTATTTGGGGTTGGCTACACGAATCTTCTTCCGATAGATGTGACAAAAATTTTACATTGGCTGCCAACCTAACACACCCTCCTCCTTTCTCCATGCTTGGGACAGGCACGACCAGCTTGGGACTTGAGGAGTTTTTAAGAGAAATTGATACCAAGATAATTTCATTAAAAAAGTAAACAGTCAGTTCAACACTATATCAAATTTCGTTCAATATTTGAAATTGTTGATGGAATGGAAATGTTAAGCCATCCAACTAATGTTTTCTAGATTTTAAGGGAAACCGGAAATTTATTTTTTGTTCTAAGATGGAGCTTTTGCTGAACTAGATCACCATTTAAATCCAACTGATTAGAAGTATGTATAAATTAATATCAAAATGAAGAGAAGGAACACCTAAATGGACTAAGACCTCGCTCTCTCTACCGGGTCACTCAATAATCAAAAGAGCAAAATTGACGCTCTTCCAAACATTCTAATTTTGATCCATATTTATGAGAAAGTAGCTTGCAACAAGTACAAATAATAAGCTTGTCCTAATAGCATTACAAATTCAAGGAGTCAAAAAATGACAATGACAAAATTTACGCAGAGGTATTACTCCATTCTTTAATATATTTAAACTTTAACATCTTTCATCATCCTCATCATAATCTTTTCCCAACTATTAGCAGTCGGCTACACAAATCCTAGTCTATCATTCTACTCTATCAAGGGTCACACCCTTAGTGAGGCCATAAGTCCCCATACTTTTTTTCACTACTTCTAACCATGTCCTTTTGGGCCTATCCCTTGCCTTTTTTAAGCCTTCCACTTGAACCAACTCGCACCTCTTAACAAGTTATGTACTAGATCTGTGTTGTACATGGCCAGCCCACCTAAGTCTACTTTCTTTTATTTTATCGCCTATTGAGCCCCACCTAAGTTCTATAGAACTATTCTATAGAACTTCCACTTCAACTCTATTAGTATACAGTGATCACATAAAACTCCGGTTGCATATCTCCACTTCGCCCACCTATCTATAATTTTATGTGCCACATCTTCCTCAATCTCTCTATTTTCGTAGATTATCGACCCAAGATATTGTAAGTGTGCTCTTTTTGGTATTTCTTAACCATCAATCTTAACTACTTCCTCTTTTCTACTCATGTTATTACTACCCTTGCATTCCATATACTCTTAATCCGGCTAATTTTAAAACCTTTAGTTTTTAAAGCATCCCTCCAAAGTTCTAACTATGTGTTGACATCGCTGCGGGTCTCATTGATCAAAACTATGTCATCTGCGAACAACATACACCACGGTACTTCATCGTATAGGTGCCTAGTTAAGTCGTCCATAGCTTAAACAAAGAGGCATGGCCTCAACGTTGATCCCTAATGTATACAGTACACCTATTGTCACTAGAAACTCACTCGTCTCTTCACTAGTTGTTCGCACACTAGTTAGTGCTCTCATATTTATCTCTCAACAAGTTGAGATAATATCTGGACACTCATTTCTTTTCCAACACCCACCAAATTATATCTTTAGATCAATAAATACCATGTGGAGGTATTTTCCTTTCGCTCCAAACTTCTCAATCAATTGCCTAAATAGGAAAATAGCCTCAATTGTTGACCTCTTTAACATAAAATCGAATTGGCGTATCAATATACTCATTTCATGCCTTAGTCGTTACCCAATCACTCTCTCATATAACTTCATAGTATGGCTCATAAGTTTAATCCCTCGATAGTTCGCACATTTCTATATGTATCTTTTGTTCTTGTAAATAGGTATCACAATATTTTTCCTCCATTTGTCTAACATTTTCTTTGTTTTCAACACCTTGTTGAACAACTTGGTCAGCCAGTCAATGTCGACCTCTCCTATGCACTTCCAAACCTCTATTAGGATACCATCTGGTTCTAAAGCCTTTCTTATGTTCATTATCTTCAAAGCTTCTTTCACTTCCAATATCCTAATCCTACGAATGTATCTTTGACATCTTTTAGTAATTAATAACAAAAGGAAAAGGAAAATGAAAACTATTCAAACAAGGAGTGATCAAATGTGAAATTGATGAAAATAAATGTGTAGGAAAGACTTCCATTAAAATGAAAAGGAACTCACTTGTTGTCTTCTGTCACGCCTTCACTGTTCCATATTTTTGCAAGTGCGACAAGTGATAATCCACATTTGAGAGCTTCCACCTAGGATCCAAGAATTGAACATATCCTCAGGAGGGTTGAAAAGTTGAAAGAATATTAACCAATGAAAATTTATTTTAAGTTTGATACTTCAACTCAACTGATTGAGTTTTATAATCAAGAAACAAATGAAACTCAAAGAAAAGTCACAAAAATGTATACGTGTGTTTGTGTGTGTAGTGTATGCGCATAGGAGTGGTGGGCTAGATGTGCGATGGAAAGATCTGAAATGAGATGATTACTAATGAGCTTTTAGGTGAATGTCAAATGTTGACTGATTACGTGGAACAAAGTGTCACTTCCCTCGGACCAATGTAGGGTCTACTCTCCAAAGTTATTCAAACCAGACTGGACCAGCGGTCTAACTAGAGGACCCTGAGACCGGAACCTTCCCTTGTTTGACAGAAGCATTAAACAGAGATTTACATAGAATTGGACAAAATCATCATTTGACTGGTTGAACCAATTCTATCGCCGGTTTTGTTGGCTTTATTGGACCATTTGGTTTGGAAATTTGAACTAAAATTCTCTGTCATTTTAAATTTTATTGCCAACATTTTACTATTTCTTTCCATTTTATTTATGTTGATTACATGGGCACTTTCATTTCCATTATATGTGCAGCTTCCCCCCCCTCTTTTTCTCCCTCTCTGTGTACATGTGCAGCTTGCCATGTAACCGTCTAGCTAATATGTTCAATTATGTAACGTTACTTAAAAAATGCAACATTTAATTAAACAAAATGTACAACTATTTACAAATGTTTAATCGTGGTAATTCATTAAATGTTTAATAATTTAAATTTAGTTAGAATTTTTACAATCACTTCTAAAACTAATTTCTTATTTTTAATTATTTTTGCTGGTCTTATATTTTCTAAATTTAAATTAATTTTTAAAATTTTCGTAAATTTTTTAAGGTTTTTATATTGAAAAAAAGGTTCGACCGATCTAACCACCAGTTAGACCGGTTTTTATTGGACCAGAACCGGTCAGATCCTGATAACACTGCTCCTCTCTATGTTAGGAAATAGTCGCTAGAAAAAGTGATAATAGAGTAGGTGCCTAGAGAAAGTGATAATGGAGTATAGAAGTCAGGGGCATGATGTTTAGTCCAGTGGGGAGCCTACTAGCTTTAGGATGGGGAGTCAGGGTGGAGAATCACATAAGGGTTCATTTCAGGAGGTTTGCTATATAATTTCCATTAGGTGCACTATTTCTTAGCTCTCACATCTACCTATAAATTAAAGTATATTGAGTATATTCCTACCAGGTAGAAGGGATCGGAGACATGGGGACTCAGAGAATTAGTTGTCCATGGAAAGATTCTGGGGTAGCTAGTTTTGCCATCCCTATAAAGACTTGTCAAATGATGAAGGTGAAAGAATAGACATCTCCCCTCACCATGTTTGCATTTAACCTAGAAAGCAGGCTAAACTTTTGGCAAATAAAAATTATTTCTTTTCAAAACAATAGAGGTGCAATCAGTAATAAAATCTTAAATTTCTGAGACTGGTTCCTAGTTTCATAATGCTTAGGTTTAGTGATTGTATTACAGTGCATATGTCTCAGTGCATTATTAAGTTTTAGGAAAATGTGCATGTAGTGTATGTAGGCATATTGTCTGGCCCTACAAATACATTTTATAAAAGTAAGAGAGAAAGAGATAGAAGCATAGATGGTGATGACGATAATAATAATGATGATGACGACGTTATTTTATACTAACCAAAAAATTTGCAGTTGTTACACTATAATCATACTTTCCCGCTCTCCTTGACCATGCAATAAGTATTGCCTGCGAGCTAGTAAGCAATGTCAAGGCCATTGTCACAAGTGACCTGCGCCAATCAAAGATATCAATAAGAACATAGTCCGACTAACTAAACATGTAATGAAAAAAGTAACAAAAAAAGTAACTTTGACAACAAAACATCACATTCTTCATAATCAATAGCAATGAGAAAGAAAAAATCAATACAAATATTAGAGTTCCTACTTGCTCGTCCACACGGATTTATCAAGCATACTAGCCCCCAACTTGTCCACAGCACGTATAGGAACTGTTGAAAAAATAAATAAAAATAAAATAAAAACAGTAATAAGATGTAAAAAGAGTAAAAGGAATTGCCTTGAGCCATGCTAGCAAAGACAATTACCCATGGATAGCTGCTTCATGCTTGAAGTAAAAGTAAAACATACCACCAGAGAGAGGTTTTCCATGATGACCCTCTGGATCAACTCCAACCCCATCTTTTTCCTACAACAAATTAAAAAATTTTAAATCGTCTGAGTTAAATAAACAACAATTGTAATAACCCAACATAAAGTTAGATGAAAATCGATAAATATTTTGATTTCAAGGAAACAATAAAAGAATGGATCCTCCCTTGTTAGAAGAGACAATAAGAATTAAAAGAAGTTAGTACTCAGTTATTAAAAAAAAAAGAAAGAGAGAGAATAAAGAAGTTCGCACTTCCATCTTCAAGTGCAAAGGGCCAAAAACTTCAAGTGCAAAAGGGTCAAAAATGAAATCAATAAATTTCCATTAAGGAAGATAATTTTCAATTATTTACCATAAAAAGGGGAGGGGGTTCTGATTTCAATTTCAATTATTTACCATAAAAAGGAGAGGGGGTTCTGATTTCAACAACATTCAGCGTCTATTTAACCATAAACTCAAACATACATTTTAGCATCTCTGAATGCAAAGACCATAAAATTCGATTCTACAGACAAAATCTCTTGTCTGTAGAATAATCACCATGAAATCCTCGGTTCAAAAAGATTAGCAATGAGCTGAATAATATCCATGAAATCTCTTGGACTAGCATGACTCAAAACAATGTACACTGATCCGCTAAACATATCTAGAGTTCCCCTCCTTCAATGAAAGTATAACTGTGAGAAAATCTTGCACTTCTAGAACTGTTACAGTCCACTCACCAGAGAGAGAGGACCCAAAAATACCTACATTGTAGTTAGAGTAAGAGAGACCTAAAAAGAGCAATTAGAGAGACCTGCCTGATTAAACTGATGCAGAATAGATAGATTTCAAATCTAGAAGTCCCTCTCCATTGTGAAACAGGTGGATGCGAGAGAGAGAGAAAGAGGACTACCAATCAAATGTAATTTTGGGGGAAGATACAATAGAAGAGTTCAGGTTTACAGAGATCAGAGAGATTGGCATCAGTATTTCAACCGAGAGCGAGAGCATCGATCGGTTCTCTCTCTCTGTCACACACACAAATCACAAACCAATTCGCAGATTGAAATCCCCCAAACTCAAAAACACATTGAACCCCAGCAAAGAAAACCAGAAAGCAAAAGCAGAGCAAAGAAGAATTAGGTAGATCATCGCAACACAACCAGAGATCTGAATCTAAAACTCTTCTTGTCCAAAAGGAAATGAGAGAGAAACTGTGCACCTCATCTTTCAGTTTTCTGTACTCCATGGCGAGCTCAGAGAAACACAGTGCTCAACTCTATAGCGAGAGAGGGAAGCACCTCGGTAATTATTCCTCTCTCCTACTTCTCAACTCTCTCTCTTTCTCTCTCTACATTAATGAAACTTCATCACTCTCGCTCTCTTAGGCTCCATTCCCCCCCCCCCCATCACAAGGCATGAACACTACCGAATTTGCAGACGCGCGCACTCTCTCTCTTGCGCATTTCTCCCGGTTTTTTTTTATTTTTTATTTTTTTACGGCGTGATAGCGTACTCCCACGGTCATGCTCCCGTGGGAGCATACTCTACATCTACTCCCTCGCCTAGGAGACCAGGGAGACTTTTTCGATATGAAATTTTAGGAACGAAAAATTTTGAATTTTGAGCTTTCAAACAACTTTATCATTCTCTAAAAATTAGACCGTCTTTGTTCGACTTTTTTTTTTTAATACACAAAAGGTATAATTAATATTTTAAAAATTTTTATGGGTTGGTATTGCATTTACATGTTATAGACACCTTTTAAAGTTCAAATTGAACCACCCACATCCAAGTGCCAAAAACTATTTTTATTTTTTATAAATATTGATCAAAATAAATTTACAGGTATATTATTTTATATTTTATTTATAAATAATTTTAATCATTCTTATTTAGTTTTTTTTATAATAGTAAACCTACACCCCCAAATTCAGATAAAAAATTTATTGAAAAATAAAATATGAAATTATAGCCTTGTGAAATTTCAACCATTGGAAATACTGAGCACCCTTCCTCCCATCCTTCCATTGAAGTCGTGTAGACGAGATACTTGCGATGAACTAAGAAAATTTACTCTTGGTTATGAAATTTAAGGTTCTAAAAACAGTACAATTTGAGTATATCTATAAGCACATGAAAAACTTGAGAATATGCAGTATTTTATTTTTTATATTTACATGTTTCGAGGTTTAGATGATGAATTGAAGGGTATCCCAATGTTGAATTATTAGTTTGGAGCAATGTTTAAAAAAATGCCGAGTCAAACCGGACTCACCCGGTTCGACTCGGGAATCGCCATGGACGAATCGAATCGGCGAAAAAAACGGGAATCGTCCGGTTCTAGAGAGAACCGGACGATTTTGTACAGTGACTCACCGATTCACTGTACGGAATCGGCGAGTCCCGTACGGAACTTTTCTTTCTTTTTTTTTTTTTTTTTTTTTAATTATAATCCATGATTAGATTTTTTGTTAATACTTGATTCAATTTTTTGTTAATCCATGATCGTAATTTGTTTTTTATTTTTTTTGTAATCTATGATTTTCAAATTTTTTTTTTTTTTTTTTATTTACGAACCTGTATACGTTAATTTTTAGTTTTATACTCTAGTAGTTACGTTAACGTTTTTAGTTTTTAACTACTACTAGTAGTACGTTAAGTTTAAGTTTTTGTTTTT